AGTCACTTTATATACTTTTCATTTTTCTTAAATTTTTATATTTAGGTATGACGATAAGAAAATTGTTTATCAAGAAATAAAATGGCATGGGGCGCACTATTAAAAATAATGAAACCGTTTTTAATACTATCATTGTTTTAATTCGAAAAATTGGTCTCAAAGAGTTGGGAAAATAATATTAAAAAATGAAAATATAATTGATCTTATGATTTTGAAAAAATAAAATAAAAACGAAGCCCTGCTTAAGTTCTATTAAGCTGCTATAAAGCTAATGTAAAGTGAAAGACTCCTAGAAAAAGAATTATATTATAGGAAGTCATTGAATATTGCAAGATATTAAGGATTGATATGCAAGTATGATTGATAACTTACAAGTTCATTAGCTTCATAAATTTAAGAACTTTTACGAGCATAATTTGAAATGGGATAATATGCAACGCACGCTTCTGGTGCACTTCCTACTCACAAGGGAAGAAGAGCGACATGGTTCATTTCAGATTTGAATGTTCGCAACATTGGAGCATATTACTCAAAAAAAAATCCCTTTGAAGAATGTGAAAAAAGAGACGGAATCATCCAGTAATTTATTAAAATTTCCTCCGTCAATCATCCACACACAGGGACAGATCCAGAAACAGATTACAGACCGTCAATCATCCACACATACAAGTTATTATCAAATCAAATAATGTACTTGACAATAATTGCTAAGAAACCTAGTTGTTTTGAATTTTCACACGATCCAAGATGGATTTCCCATCGAGCAAATTATTTTGTTGCGAAAAAAGAAAATCCTTGTACTTCATTGGAATATATGCTGGTGCACATCCTTCATTCTCTACCAACTTTGAAGAAGGGCAAACGATAGTGTCCAGTGATGGACCGTTGGCCATGGCTATAGAAATTCTTGTATTCTTGTTATTCACGATTGCTTTGTGCAACACACTCTTGTATTTTCCATTGCTAAATATCTGCGAAAGAAAAAATGAACCACTAATTCCCATTTTTTGTTTGTGGATTCTACAGTATTGAACAGTATTACAAACGTACCTCGAGATGATCTCCCGTGTTGACCAGAATAGAGTTGGGAAGAGCATTGACATTAAGCCACTCTCCTTTGTGTTGTATTTGGAGACCACCCACTTGATTCTCTATGAGTAGAGTGAGAAGTCCATGATCTGAATGTGGTGGCATGCCCAGTGCAAGTTGAGGCTGAGGGCAAGGTGGATAATAATTTGCAATGAAGATCTGGAAACTTGAGTCCAAGTTTAATGTCTTTTCCATTTCGTATTCTTCAAGTCCAAGGCTTTCTGATATTCCTCTCACCAATTTCCTCAGTAGATTTTGAGTTCTCTCACAGTATTCCAATAGAAGCTCTCTATAATTATGTGGAGCAGAAATATTATCAATTAACAATGTAGATCAGCAGTCATAGAAGAATGTATATAATGTTGAAAATTAGAAATACTAATCTTATATCACCAAAATCAATAAAATCACAATAAGAAAATAGACACAAGAACATAGATTCGTCTCAACGTAAGACAATGTGATTTTCCACAGCTACAGTAATCCACCTCTTCGGCCCACCTCTTTAGGAGAAATTATTGAAAATAACCTAAATAAAACAATAACCATTCCAAAATAACGTTTGACTATTCAACTAATATAAATTACCTAAAATACCCCTAAAAATAATATTTTCACCTAAGCAACCTAAAATAAGAAAAAAGTACAATAAAGTCCTAGATTACCATAAAACGACTAATAAAAATTATAAAAAAACCAGATCTAAAAGAGGACCATATAA